GTCAGTTTGGGAAATCTATAGTAAAAAAAAAAAAGCACATACTCTGCCCTGGCTAGTGTGGCTCAGTTGGGTGAGCATTATCCCATGCAGGAGGTTGCCAGTTCAATTCCCAGTCAGAGCATGTGCCTGGGTTGCAGGCTCAATACCCAGTAGGGAGCATGCAGGTGGTAGCCAATAGATGGTTCTCTCTCACTGATGTTTCTCTTTCTCTCCCTCTTCCTCTCTCTCACTAAAATCAATAAAAACATATTTTTTAAAAAAAGGATGTAGCTTTTAAGCCAGCAATTAATCTTCTAGGAATTTAATTTTTAAACTGTGCATGCATTAGAATTACAGAATTATTTGTAAAAATAAACACATAAATAAATAAATAAATAAAAACAGAAACAATGTAAACATTTTCCAGTAAGGGATTAATTAATTAAATAATTAAAGAGATACACAATGTAAGAGTATTCAGCCATTTTAATGATGAAAGTATATTGTACAATAAAGGACACCTGATTATCAATGAGCATTTATAGTGTGATTCTATTATATAAAATTGAATACCTTACTGTATTTGTATTTGCACATATACAGTTGATGTGTGGAAAGGTGTTCTCTATGTTTTCTCTGGCTCAATAGTTTGTGTTTTTACTTCTTTGTACTTTTTAAATTTTTTGAATATTTTATAAATTTGTTTCATTATTACAAAACAAAAACTATTTGAAAAATAAAAAACAGTATCAAAGTTAAATCAGTTCTTGCTTCAGTAACTGGAGTTACATGGACTGTAGCCAAATGTTTTTTTAGAACTGGGAATCTATTATGCTTTGGAGAAAATTCAACAGGTATGTTATAGATCTTGATCAAATAACTAGTATGTTTCTGTTCTACCATAGGATTATTACTATTATTATTATTGTTATTTTTGTTCACCCTCACCCAAGAATTTTCTATTGATTTTTAGATAGAGTGGAAGGGAGGGAGGGGAAGGAGAGAGAGAAACATTGGTGTGAGAGAGACACATCAATTCGTTGCCTCCTGCACAACCCCAACCAGGGCCAGGGATGGAACCTGCAATCCAGGTACATGCTCCTGACTGAGAATCAAACCTGCAACCCTTTGGTCCAGGGGCCAATGCTCTAACCGTTGAGTCAAACTGGCCAAGGCCAAAGGATTATTATTAATGTATGGGGTCAATAGGACCTGAACTAAAACCAGATCTATATGGGTTATAAAAGTTAAATGTCTAACATTTTCATTTAACAACTCTCTTCATAGCACTTTCATTTCATTGGAGTCAGTCCTACTTGTTTTTTTTTTTTTTTTTTTTTTTTTATCATCCTCACCCGAGGACATTTTTCCATTCTTTGTTCAGATAGAGTGGGATGGAGAGAGAGGAACAGAGAGAGAGAGAAACATCGACGTGAAGGGACACATCGAGTGGTCGCCACCCGCACAACCAACCAGGGCCGGGGACAAACTGCAACCGAGGTACATGCCCTTAGCGGGAACCGAACCCGGGTCTCTCCGGACCGCAGGCCGATGCTCTAACCGCTGAGCCAAACCGGCCAGGGCAGTCCTACTTGTTGACTGGCATTGTAATTTGGGAGGAAAGGAACTTTCACTTACATGGCTAATGTAAATAGATTTCTGAGAGGCAGCTGTGGGGTCCAAGGAGTAAACCTAATAAATATTTTGCCCCTACATTAATAGTCCCTGGGGGGTTAGTTGTAGTAAAGGAAGTGGGCCTTTTTAGGAAAAGTAGTTGGAGCCAGAGAAGTATTGAAAATAGCCTAAGAAGAGAAGGCCAATTGGGAGAAATAAAAGTGGATTATAAGCTCATGAAAAGATGCTCAACATCACTAATCATTAGGGAAATGCAAATGAAAACTACAATGAGATACCACCTCACACCCATTTAGGATGGCTACTATAAAAAACAAACACACAGCCATGGCCAGTTTGGCTCAGCAGTTAGAGCATCGGCCTGCGGACCAATGAGTCACAGGTTCGATTCCGGTCAAAGGCAAGTACCTGGGTTGCGGTTCGTCCCCAACTGGGGCCAGGGTCATGTGGGAGGCAACCAGTTGATGTGTGTCTCTCACGTTGATGTTTCTCTCTCTCTCTCCCTCCCTCCCACTCTATCTGAAGATAAATAGAAAAATATCTTCAGGTGAGGATTAAAAACAAACAAACAAAAAAACGCACAGACCACAACAAACATTGGCAACAATGTGGAAACAGTGGAGCCCTTGTGCATTATTGGTGAGAATGTAAAATGGTACAGCTGCTGTGGAAAACAGTAAGAAGATTCCTTTAAAAATTTAAAAATATAATTACCATATGACCCAGAAATTCCACTTCTGGATATATACCCAAAATAATTAAAAGCAGAGTCTCAAAGAGATATTTATACAACCATGTTCATTCAGCATTATTCACAATAGCTAAAATGTGGAAACAACTCAAGTGCCCACTGATGGAAGAATGGATAAGCAAAATGTGGTATCTATATAACTGAATATTATTCAGCCTTAAAAAGGAAGGAAATTATGCAATATGCTACAACATGGATGAACCTTGGGGACTTTCTGTTAAGTGAAATAAGTTAATTGCAAAAAGATAAATGCTGTATGATTCCATTTACATTGTCAAAATCATAGAGACAGAAAGTATAATGGTGGTTGCTAGAGGCTGGGGGATGGGAGTTATTGTGTAGGAGGTACAGAGTTTCAGTTTTACCAGATGAAAAGAGTTCTAGAGATGGGTGATAGTGAGGCTGCACCACAATGAGAATGTATGTAAGACCACTGCACTGTACACTTAAAATGGTTAAGCTGGTGAATAATATGTGTATTTTAACATGCACAAAAAACAAAACAAAACTGGGTTATAATTGTTTTTGGTAAGTGGTTATGATTTGTAGAAAAAGTCAATGGGTTTTACTTAAGAAGGAGTGTTACCCAGTAAAAAATTCTTTTCTTTAGCATCTATGGATAGTTATGACAATATAAGTAATACCTTACATTTCATTCATCATTTAACAAAATCTCACCACTGCATGTCCTAAGGACGTTTTAAAGTTAACTGGCCCTGAGCTGCAGGCATGGGGCCGAAGGGGTGGGGGGAATGAGGGATTGCTGGAAGAAGGTAATGTAGGTATTATTAACAATTGAAGCTGTGGAAACAAACTAAGTTGATCTAAGTGAGAGGAAAGGAGGGTAAAGAATAAAACCTTGAGGATACCAACTTTTATGGCTTTGTAATAAAGGAGAAGCCAAGGAAAGTACTAGCAAAGGGAAGGTCAGAAAATAGGTAGAGAAAGGAGAATGATGTAGAAGAAAGGAGAGGAGAGTTTCAAAAAGGAGTTAGCAGCATCAAGCGCTGTAGAAAGACCACATGATGGAGGACTGAAGTGTCCACTGGATTTGGCAATCAGCAGTCACTACAGGGTAGCCCCAACAGGAGTCAGCATTACCTGTGCAAGTGGCTGGCTCACTTGTAGGCACCTTCACATAGTCTGGATTGGACTAGAGTGGGAGGCAGGTCCTACATAAAGTAACTGACCTGGCTCTTATTGGGGATGGGAAGTCTGCAGGTTTCTAGAGGTCTTGCTAAACCAGGTAAGGGCGAGAATGCACCTAGGGTCCCAGTAACTGGTTTTTGCCAAGAATCAGTTGAATGAATATATAAATGAATGAATATATGAATGAATGTGGGTTGTTTCATGCTAAAGACAGGAAGATGTTGATCTAGGGCATGGCCCTGGATGGAGGCAGGATGGAGTACCTGCCTCTAGAAGAAGTTGCCTACCGCCTCAGAAAGGGGCCAGGGAGGTTGGTGTTTTCTAGGCAAAATCAGGTTTCATTTTGAAGGGTGTGTGTGTGCGTGTGCATGTGTGTGTGTGCAAGGATTTACAGAGGTTGCTTTAGGATAGAAAACACTGCAAGAGAAACAGTGGAAGACGTTGGGGGACAGGCATCAGGACGGGGTTGAGGTAGGGGAAGACAGCTAACTGGGAATAAGAGTGCAGGGAAGGATAGATGTGCGCTTCACAGAGCACTTCTGCGACCAGTGACTCATTCATCCTTAGGACAAGCGGGAGAGAGATCGGTATTATATTGCCAGCCTTTGGAATGAGGGACACTTTCCAGATAAAGCCATCATGGCTCAGAAAGCCTGTTCAGCAGCTGTTTGATTCCTCTGGTGACAAGAAACACTCTACTTTTGGAAGTAGCACTAACATTATGGAATTTTTTTTTAAAGCCGGTAGAAAAGAAGAAAGGTGTGGGCCCCCTTGAGGGGAAAGTTCTGTCAATGTTAGACATCTGGAGTAATTCATAGAACTGCAGAGACAGATGTGTCAGTCAGATCTTTTCATCTGTAAAACGAAGTGGGCAGATGATCTTTCTTTCCCCTTGTCTAACAGCCCGTGAAATCATCTCGGTAACCACCTCCCAATTTTACAGAATAAAAAACGAGGCCCGCGGGATGTGTTTCGCTCAAATTACTGCAGGGACAGGCCCAGAACCGACTCCTCCCCGGCTCTCGCCGCTCCGCAACCTTCTCGGAAAGATAGGAGCTGCGGGAGGCTGCAGGCCGGGCGGCCTAGCTGAAAGCACCCTGGGGCTGGAGGCCGCTTCCCGGCAGCAGTCGGAGGAACGCCCCGAGGGGAGGGCAAGAGTTAGGGCCTCCTTTCCCACACTTCGTTAGGACGAGGGCCGGGGTGGGGAGCGCGACACCCTCCCTGGGGCCTGCGGCCGGCAGAGGGCGCGGGGCGGCTCCTCGCTCCGCCGCCCGGCGGGTGGGGAGCACGCTGCCCGGCGCGCGCCGTCGGAGCTCCCGGGCACCAGGTCGCCGCGGCCCGGACTGCCCCAGAGCGCAAGGGCAGCGCGGCGGGTGGGGCGGGGCGGCGGGGAGCGGGCGGGGCGGGGCGGGGCACGGAGGGGGCGGGGCCGCGAGCGGGGGGCGGCGGCGGCGGCGGCGGCGGCGGCGGCGGAGGAGGAGGAGAACATGGCGGCCGCGGAGAGCGGCTGAAATGCCTGTTCTTCAGGCCAGGCGAGCCGGAGTCTGACGCGATTCGCCCAGCCCTCCCCTCCGACGGCTGGACCGCAGCCTCGAGCGCCTCGGCCTCTCTGTTCCTTGTTGCTTCCTCGAGCGGAGCCTGCGCCGGGTCCGTTCTGCATCCCCCTGCGGGGGGACCCCTGCTCCGGAGGAGGGGGCCAGAGAGCCGCGGCGGCGGCGGGCTCCCGGCCCGAGGAGTCGCGGAGGCTGCGGTGGTGCCGCCACGGTCGCGGGCGAGCACGGCGCCCGTCAGCACGACCCGGAGGCGGCGGCAGGTGAGTGGCGGGCGCCTAGCCTCCCAGTGGGTGCAGCTGTCACGAGCCGCGCGGCCGCCGAGGCCCTAGGGGGCGGGGAGCAGCTGGCGCCCCTCCGCCCCCTGTTCTCCTTTCTCTCCGTTCCGTTCCCCCTCCCACTTTCCCCGATTTCTCCCTCGGCCTCGCGCGGCTGGAAGGGGCGGAGGTCGCAGCTGTCACGGGCACCAGCTGGGGGCTGCACCGCGGAGGGAAATTGCTGCAGCAGCGACTTCTCTGCCCCCTTTCCCAGTTGCCCTAGTTAGCGCGGACAGGGCGAGCATCCGCGGACAGTGCCCGAGGCTCGCGGCCGCCGGCCCGGCGTGGGGAGCGGCGCCCCGAGCCCGCCGGCGCTCCCCGCCGCCGAGAGGGGGAGCCGGAAGTCGGCACGGGCGCCCCTCGGCCGGCGAGCGCGGTGACCTTGGCCGGCGGGTTCACCTCTCGGAGTCTCGCTTGCCCGGACTGCGAAATGGGGATGACCATAGCGTGCCTTTCGGTAAGCGCAGCCTTCGACGGCGCTTCTGTTTACCCCAGCACACTGGCTTTTTCGTTCTCCCGACGAGGGATTTCGGAGGCAGACATGGGATGGATAGGTGAGATTTTCCTACTAGGGCTAGGGTTTGGTCCCCTTCCCAGCATTCTGCTGAAAGGACCTTGGAAGGGAAGCAAACATGTTGATTGGACGATTGGGAGGTGGGATAGTTAATGGTCAGCGACAGAACTCTAGCCGTTCCCTGGTTTCTCCGAAAAGAAATGGAGAAACCGGACACCAGGGTCCCTAGTGCTTACCTACCCACCCAGCTATGGTTTTCTCTCCCCCTTGTTTTAATGTATTTATTTACTTATTTTAAAGCAGTCAGTCCCATGGGCTAGAATCTGCCTGGGCTGACGATGTTAGAGAGAGACGGAGGGTTTGACAATAAAGCCTGAGTGTGTGACAAGGACAGTCCACGGTGCTGTGGCTGCAGAGTTTGGTGGGGAGGAAAACTTTAAGCTGAAGAATCTTTTAGCCTTTCATGCTTGGCTCTCTTTTATTATAGAGGCTTTGAAGAGGCAGGTGTCCTTGTGGAGAAGGTGACTTTTTTTTTTTCTTTTAAGAGGGTGAGTTTTTTAAGTTGAGTGTGATGATAGTGAATGAAGGGTTCTTGAGTGAATTGCAGCCCCAGCACCCTCTGTAGATGCCCACAGTAATCTCTGTGGGAGGATTTGTGAGGGCTGAGGCTTACACTTAAGTGATTAAGAAATCAAATGTCTGTGTAAAACATCACTGTGGGGAAGTTTAAATTATACTGGACGGTTGAAAGGATGGGTTTCAAGGGTTAAATTTGTTTGAGGTGTGTCTCCTCTTCTAGAATTGGTTGGAGGTTAGTCTCAAAAAAAAAAAAAGTTGGCCAAAGGGGCCTCTCAGCTTATTTCACAGAAGCTATGATGTAGTAGGAAGGAGGTCAGATTTCTTCATGTTGAGAATAATGTGAAAAGAAAGTATTTGCTTGGATCTTTTGGCTCTTCAACTAGAAAAAGTTTTGGGTTAAAGGTAGCAGTGGGGTGTGATTCAGCTTAATAAATGGGCATTCCTTGAAATGTTTGTTATAAACTAAATACAATTGGAAGTGTGTCTGTTTTATCTCCTGTACTTTGTGGAAAGGTCTAATTTGGTTTAATGAGCTAGTGTCTGAAATGTTTTCCCTCCATTTCTTATTCAGACTTTATGCTTGGGGAACAGTGGATCAAAAAGGGAATATACGGCCCTGGCCAGTTTGGCTCAGTGGTTAGAGCATCGGCCTGCGGACCAGAGAGTCCCGGGTTCAATTCCTGCTAAAGGCACCTACCTCGGTTGCAATTTATCCCCAGCCCGGTTGGAGTCATGTGGGTGGCGACCACTCGATGTGTCTCTCACATTGATGTTTCTCTCTCTCTCTTTCCCCCTCTCTCACTCCCGCTGTATGGGAAGATAAGTGCAAAAAAAATATCCTCAGGTGAGGATAATAATAATTTAAAAAAAGGGAATACACGGTTTGGAGAGAAAATGCAAGGGTGTTGCATATAGGAACAGGTGTTTGGTTTGGTTTCTATAGACATCTTGCACTGCTATTTTATTACATTTATTTAACACTCAGTGAAGTTTGATTTTTAAGGTATAAAACTTGAATTTTGCATACTTTATAGTTAATCTCTTCCTCATTTCTTTCTGAGAAAATCTGTAGGATTGTGTCTATTAAATTGCTTCTTGTGTAGTTTAAGCCAAGGGCGTATTTTAGATCTGCATTTTTTTGGGTAAGTGGTTTTATTGGAAAAAAGTGCCTGATAGAACTAATGGTGATTGTTCCACTTAAACTGGGTTATATAGACAATGCATTTTACTCCCTCTTTCTGCCAACATTTGTTTTTCTTTCTCCCTCAATTCCAGGGTTTCATTTCTAGAAATCTAGGCTGGAAACCGAAGCAGCAGTTTGTATTATCCCAAGAATTTGCTTATGCCAGGAAGTTGTAAGGAAGCATGAAGTGGATGTGATATAAAGATATTGCTACTACTGAAGACATTTAACTGTTGAGGGAGTGTAGGGTCAAACTTTAATTTTTGTTGAATTTCCTGTTTTCTATGTATGTGTTAATTTTTTGGTGGGCAGAGGATTGGGTTGCTATGGTGCTGACTAGTATATATTGTGAAAGCACTGGCAAAATTTCGTGCTTTCTCTCTATAGGGCAGGGTGGTAAACAAGCCTAAATAATTTAAAGATGTTCCCAGGATGGAATGTTCTCTGCATGTACTCTTGATCCTGTTAATCCAGTGCTCGGTCTTCACCAGGACTAAATGTTGAGTAAGTGAGAAGGGTGGTGTAGAGGTGCTGAAAGGTGGAGTGGGGAAGAGAGGATATTGGACATTCTTTGAAAATCTTTTCTCTATTGTATTATATATCAGAATATGATTTATAGTTGAATTAATTTTTTTAATCCTCATTTGAGGATATTTTTCTGTTCTTTTTTTTTTTTTATCCTCATCTGAGGACATTTCTTCGTTTTTTGTTCAGATAGAGTGGGAGGAAGAGAGAGAGAGAGAAACATCTACATGAAAGGGACACATCAAGTGGTTGCCTCCCGCATTACCCACCCAGGGCTGGGGACAAACTGCAACTGAAGTACATGCCCTTAGTGGGAACCAAACCCCCGTCTCTCTGGACCGCAGGCCGATGCTCTCACTGCTGAGCCAAACCAGCCAGGGCTCATAGTTGAATATTAAAGAACATTTTAGCCCTCTTTTCTCTATAGTCATCTATTTTATATACCCTCCCTAGAGAAATATTACCTGTGTTCCTTATTTTAGTTTGTCTTTTTTGCTTCATCATCCAAGGGCTCCACATTGTTTGAATATGTTGCATATCTTATGGAGTTTGTTGGCTTTAAACTATATGGCTTAATGTAGCCTTCATTTTGGGGCAAGGATGGGAGGTCAGTAAAAGTGCATACCACTGAGTAGAATCCTCTAAGTCATGAGGTGTAGATCCTCAAGATGCTCATTATTGCCTTTGCAGGGATTTTTGCTTTCTGTATATGATAATCACAGGAATTCTCGGAGGGCCATCCAGTTGCTTTCATGGCAGAGGTCCAAAAACATGTGGTGGGCTTCTTTTATTTCCTTTTTTTTTTTAATCCTCACCCGAGGACATTTTTTGATATTTTGTTCAGATAGAGCGGGGGAGAGAGAGAGAGTGGAAGAGAGGGAGAGAGATGAAGAGAGAGAGAGAGAGAGAGAGAGAGAAACATCGACGTGAAAGGGACACATCGAGTGGTTGCCATCCGCCTGACCCATCTGGGCCGGGGACAAACTGCAACCGAGGTATATGCCCTTAGCAGGAATTGAACCTGGGTCTCTCCAGACCACAGGCCGACGCTCTGACCGCTGAACCAAACCGGCCAGGGCTGTGGTGGGCTTCTTTTTACATTCTGGGCTCAGAGGGGAATATGGGATTGGGTGAAATACATGTATTTCAGGAGTTAAAAGACAGAGCCCTATATCTCTTCTGGTCTGCAGAACTATACAAATTTCTCCCCACTTTTTACAACTTTCCTACCTATTTGGACAGACTAGACTATAGGGAGGGATTTCTTTATTGCTTTTCTTCCAGGTTAACCAGTAGCTTAGCCCCTGGTCACTGGTCACTGAGTATCTCGTGGTCTCTGACCTTCTTTCTCACCATTGGAGATGAGGGCTAGTCACTTTTCTCTTTTTTATATTTTGGTTAGACTTCATGCCTTTCTCTCAACATTGGGGTCAGAGGTCATAAAAAGGCTTAGAGGCAATTGGGTACCATTCTTGGTTGCTTAGTTTGAGAAGGAGGTACAGATTTTTTCTATAGTTGTGGACATTGTTTTCTGGGTGCACAGTGTTTGGATTAATATAGAATGATTACTTTCTACTTCTGCAGGATACATGATTGAACAAGAGAAATTATTATAAAATACTGACACCAACATATAAGTCCAATTCTAGAAGTGCAAGTAGAGTGGGCTGTTGTATCCATGCTTCCTCCCCCATACCCCCATCTGCAACACAGTATTTTTGAGGCTTCTTGAAGCGACAGGCTTTTAGAGAAACTTAGTGTAGTTTTCATATTTCAAAGATAAATAGCTTATGCCAAAACAGAAGCTGTAGTCACTCTAGGAGCTGTGGAAGACTTGAAATTAATCAGTCTGGTGATCCTCATTCTTAGATATACTACTTTGATCTAGTCACTCCTATGGATTTATTTTGGGGAAGTTGAACTTTGCTGAGAAGTCTTGAACCTGACCATTGGGAACAGGCAGACCATACTGCTAACCATAGGTGCAAGCACAGAAGTGAAACAAACCTATTAACAGGACCAGAATTTTAAAAACACTGAATTATCCAGTGTTTCTAGAGTGATACTTCATTTTTGTTTTTCTGGCTTGTAATTCTGAGGCAGTTTTTAAGTTTCTTTTGGAAATTGAGATTTGACCTTAGGGGA